ATTTATTTTCATAGTTATATTTACTTTCATTATTATATTTATTATCTCTATCTTATAATTGTATTTTATATAAATATTCTGTATTGTTTCCTTGACAAACTAACAAGTTTCTATCGTACAATTAATAAAGTATAATCTTAACAACATAAAAATTATATATTTGCCAATATCTATTTCCTTAAAACATAAATCATCAATAAAGATGACCTAACCCTTCAACTTAAATAAAATTCATATTTATTTCTTTCATAGTTTACAACTTAAATTCTCTGTTAGCAAATAAGCTTTGTTATCCTAACGACGTAGTGTTTAAATTTAACAAGTGGTAATTCCTACTAGGAGAATCTTTATTGAAGATATATACAATGAACTGCAGAAGGACTAGCGAGGTGTATGAATTTTGAGGAACTTGAGAAAACTACATCAGAGCATATAGTTAGGCATTACTTAAACGAACCTCTTAACCAAGATTATACTTGTCCTTGGTGCTATCCATCCCTCCAATCGAAACTCTTTCCAATAGCTATAATAATTTCTAGAACTGGTTTAGACGAGAATATCAAGAAGATACCTTTACCTCAAGAACTACCATTGCCTTTAATTTATTTGAACAACTTAGTAGTACTCCTGAATCTGAACATCATAACTCTCGCCTAATAAGAGTTATTTATCAACTTCTTTCTAGTATTAGATATCATGTTCGACTTTTTTCAGCAGACGTAATATATTTATATATACAAGGCATATTATTTCAAACAAATTGCTTCCAACAACACGTTACTTTATTTATTTCTTCAAGGGTATATACTGAAATCCTAGAACAAGACCTAGTAAAGCCTATAGCAGATCGACAATTATTACAACAGCTTGTTGCTTCTTTAACACCTTTTGCATCTAGCTTAACAAACTCATCTCCTAATTCACCCAGTTGAAACTAAAATAATGGCTGCCTTAAGAGCTAAAATGAGAGCTATCTTCTAAGATATTTTTGGAACTGATAGACAATACTTAACAGATATTAGTGAACGACTTCGATTAGCACAAAGAGGAGAAAGATCTACTATCAAAGTTGACTATTTTTCAGGAGCTGAAAATGAAGATCCTGTAGAATAGCTCACTGCATTTGAAAGAGCCGCCATTACTAACAGATGGACTGATGAAGCACGAAAGAAAGCTCTTGCTGGAGGACACCTTAGAGGTGCAGCAGCTGACTGGTTTGATAGTGTTACTACTACCATGGGAAACCATTGGAATACTGGAACAAATGGAGGCCAAAACTTTGTAGATTTGTTCAAAGCTCGTTTTATTAGTGAGACTAAGAAAAATCAATAGTATCAGGAGTTAACTTCTTTACGTCAACAAACAGATAAGTCTGTAGATTCCTATGCTAATAAATTCAAGAAATTAGTGACTCGTGTAGAATTAACAGATAATGCACAGAAGAAAAGGATGTTTCTTATAGGACTGAATCCTGCTTACACTTCCCTAGTCTACTCACAAAACTAGCTGATTTAGATGCCACTGTAAATTCTACGCGAACTATTAAAATTGGATATAACTTCGCCTCTGGAAAAACCCCTAAAGATATAAGTATTACTACAGTTTCCACTTCTAAAAATGTTGTTACTAATGCTGAGGTGGATGAGCTCATTAAGAAATTAGAACAACTGTCTATTAATTATGCTAACCTGATGACTGCCTTATTAGCTCAATCTCAACAACCAACAAGGAGACAAATTGAGTGACCTACAATGATACTAATAAAAGACTAAGACAAAATATGTCTTTTATGACTTGTTATAATTGTAATAGGGAAGGTCACATTGCCCTCAACCTCGTCAACAACTAAGAGGAACTGATAGAAGACCTCATTATGATAATACAAGAAACGTACATCTTGCTGATCAATATTATGAGGAAGAATATAATGATGAGGAATATACTTCAGAAGAATATTATGAAGAAGACGAATATGAAGTCTATCTTAACACTAGGTCTGGACTTTACCCAAAGAATGCTGTATCGAAAAATAAATGAAGACCAGTAAAGTTTCAAAACCTACCTAAAATAACTGTTGAAGAATTAGAAATGAAAGAACCAATACCAGAACCTGTGGTCGAATCAGATAGAACTGAAAAGGCATTAAAAGCCTCTATAAGGAGGTTGTTCATCGGCAAATTTTTTAAGGATCAGACCTGTGCAGTTTTGCAGTATAGAGATCTGCACAATTTTGCGACCCTGCTGGCATGCAGTGTAGAAAAAAATTACAAAAATCTGTGCACATCTCTGAGAGTTTAAAAATCTGCGTAGATTTTTATTTATTTTTTACGTCTATCAAAATAATTATTTTACCAGTAGTATAATAATATTACATGATCAATTAAACGTAATTATGTAATTTTATCCTTTATATATTAAAGAAAATGCCATACATTAAACAATTATACTAATATAATTATAAAGTTTGATAAACAACAAAGAAAAATTCGATAAATAGTAAAGAAAAAAAAAAGGTTGAAAAAGAAAAATGAATAAATAGTACATTAAAAATCGGTATGAAAAAAAAAACTAAAATTTGATATACAACAAAAAAATCGAAAAAAAAATTATTTCTCAGAAGCTCCTTTGCCAAATTGAGAATCAAGTTCAAGTATCTGAATTTCATTGCAAAATAACAAAATATTTCATTTAGTAAATATTTGATAATTATTAACAATTATTTTTAACTTACCATATTTTCGTACCCGTCATCATCATGATCTTTATGATATTCTTCATTAGTTACCCCTTCTATCATAGCATCACTTTCGCCTATATGCATCTGACTGCCATATTTTTTACGTTTTGTTTCTTGAGACTCTCTTAATTCTGTCTCTGCAATCTCTCTCATCATTTCTTGTGTGCTAAGAGTATTAGGATTATCTTTCTCGAAAGCTCACTGTTAATTAATGTAATTAATGTAATTAATATTTGTAAAATTTTCAAAGAATGATTTTGAACTTATTATGAATAGCACTACAAATAATATTTATCAAAAATGCATTTATACGTCTAATAACTGACTTATCATTACATTTTATCCCCAAACTTTTCGGATTTAAAAGTATGTCACAAATCGATAAAATATATGCATATTGCGTCGTAAACAATGACTCTCCCTTATTTTATTTAAAGACGATATAACCTATTTTTGAAAGAAGTTCATGATTCGTGAGAATTTCTTCATAAGCTATATGAGTGTTTTCACTTGTCTTCCATTCGGCAAACTTTAGAGAAGGCGTTGAGTTGTCAACACGTGCTAATTTACTTTCATCAAATACAACAAATATCGCATTTCAAATGCTTGCCGTGATGTCATTTCTTCTACTTCTACATTTGGCCTTAATCTAATAATAAAAATATATATACTATATATTTAGAACTATTTTGTTTATTAAAAGCTTTTAAGATTTTAATTACCTCCGACAATATTTTTTCATCAAATTTCGATAACCAATTATTTTTGCCAATATCATCTATATAATGTTCTGCATTTTTTGATAAATATGTTTCTATCACTGTTCGACATTCAGTATCTGACGGAAATAATATAGTCAGTATAAGTTGCTTTGCAACTTCTTTGTAAGCATGCTAGAAAAATTCACTTTAAGTATTTAAAAATCCAAATAGACTTGTAAATATATTAGAACTTACTTTCCAAAATTTATCTGATAGTTCATCGTCAGCAATAAGCTTTCTTAATGCAATTGAGTTTTCTTCTTATCTTTGAGCGATAAATCTACATAGTTTATATAAAGCATTAATTTTATTATCCAACAATGACATCGTGTAATTAAATTCTTTAACGGTTAGGTAATGATTATCAGAATCTTTTATGACTAGGTAAGGATTATTATCTTCTTGTGATTTTATTGGTTTTTGGGACGATTGTGATGAAGAAAATTCTGTGTCGATCAGTGAAGAACCATGATTATCGTCATCTTGCACACGATGATGCTCAGTTTCATTATCATTAATGAACATTTGATCGGTATCAGGAGTAGAATCGACCAATTTTCTGCAAGGCACTGGAGAAGGCATTTGAGAAGATACTCGAGAGGCTGTTTGAGTTTTTGAGGTAGAAGTATCAATTGGAGGAACTGACTCTTTTTTTTTAGAAATAAAGAATTAAAGGTTATTTACAATATTGATTTTGTATAGGTATTAGGAAATTACTTACTACGTGATAACATTAGAGAAAAAACATTTTCAGTGGATTGAGAAGCCTTTTCCTGTAATTTTGTAGTACTAAAAAAGGTTTTGCTTTGAGAATCATTATCACAAGGTTGCTTAGTTGATTTGCCTTTTCTTTTTTTTGACGATGACATTTGAAAATATAAGAAATTTGGTGTCGAATAAAGAAAGGAAATAAAAAGCTTATGATTTAAATATTTGAAAAATATGTGGAAGGTTCTGGATTGATTATTACTAAAAGACGATTAATGATATTATTAACAGTGGCTTATATCTATCAAAATTAAATTTAATTAATGTACGGTAAATGTTAAAAATGCAAAAGATAATGTAATTGTTAAAAATGTAATTATTAGACTAAATTAAAATTGATGATAAATGAAATAAATTATCATTACAAATGCCAAAGTTAAATGATATACCGAAATTTGATTAAAATCAAAATCAACCGATCAATGAAAACTTGATTAAAATCAAAATCAACCGATCAACGAAGACTTGATTAAAATCAAAATCAACCGATCAACAAAGAAAATAGTAAATCATGACCCATTGATTTCTATTTAAATTATAATTACGAGTTAATAAAATTAATTTTTTTACAGAAATATAAATATTTACAAAACTTACGTTCTCTACTGAATATATCATGTTGATTTTGAGCTCTAATTATCAATTGGAGTTCACGCAAAATACATCTTTCACTTCATTTTCTAGTAATAATGTGAATAGATATATAATGATTACTAAATATCATTGTAAAATCTGTAATAGAATTTTTTCCAGTAAACATGGATTATCATAATATCGTAATGCCAAATATCATGGAAGAATAGCAACTTCTTGGACAAACGAAATGGCTAGCCCAAGAACTCATCAACAATCGCTAATAATATTAAGACTAGAACATGATGCTAACTTATGGAATGCGCTGATCACAATAGAAGTGTTAGAACAAGAGCCATCTTCTATGGTAGAAAATCCTGCATCAATTACTGTAATACAAGTTGATAATAACGAAATAAAAGATGTAGTTTTCGAAAAAACTACAAGTGAATTAACTAATGAGCCAAGATATAATTTGCGAAATCAAAGAAATGAAAAGAATGATGAAGAAAATGACGAAGGGAATGACAAAGAGAATGACAAAGGGAATAATGAAGAGAATAATGAAGGGAATGATGAAGAGAATAATGAAGAGAACGACGAGTTGCGATCATCATTAAATATCAAAGATATTAATTTCGATCTTGAAGATATTGAGGGAGCATCAATAGATGATGCTTTAGATACTATCGAAGGTAAAAACAAACTGGAACATATTGTAAAATATCCAAATGATGTGTACCGTGACTTCATGGAATTAGTGATAAATGGTAACGTATCTAACAAGATAGGGGATAAAATTATAAAGTTCTTCAATAATCATAGTGCTTTGAACGAATTCCCATTACCAAGTTCAACAAAAAGTGGCAAAGACTTTCTTAATCAAATAATATCACCTTCGTTAAACTTCAAAAAAAAGTTTTTGCAACATACAATAAAGTTGATTTTACCCTCTATTATTGACCAATTTTTCGAGCAATTCAAGTCCTTATACAACGATATGAAATAGCTGAGAATTTTGTTAATAAAGGAATACTAAAAAAAGATGTACATAATAAAAGAATATTTGGAGAACTGTATGAAGGTGACTGGTGGTTAGAGACAGAAAAGACTCTTCTACCTCTGAACCATTTACTGTCCATCATTTTATATTCGGATGCGACAACTCTTGATAGACTCAGAAAGGCTTCAAGTCATCCGATATTTTTGACACTCAGAAATCTTCCAAATCAGATTCGAAACTTACCAGAATCCAAAGTTCTTTTAGGATTTCTACCCAAGATACAGGATTCTAGGATCAAAACTAGTGAAAATTTTCGAAGATTCCAACATCAAGTATATCACAAATGTTTTGATATTATGCTTCGACCTTTATTGGAAAAAACTGATGTATTGTACTTTGGAATTAAATCTCGACCAATGACCTTTGCAGCACGAATTTCACTTTTTTTTGCGGATATACTAGAGGCTGATGTAACTGCAACATATAAATCAGCCCAATGTAAAATGCCTTGCCATACCTGCATGGTCTTACAGAGCGATCTAAATAACTTAAACATCACTTTGGATGATACACTTTACAGAACTCACGAAAATATGCAGGAAATTGTAAGGAGTGGTCAAAATAAGGATTATTCTGTTCATTCTGTCGAAAATACTTTCTGGAAATTTCCGTAACTGTCATTAATTATAATTATGTTTAAAAATAATTACAGATAGATATAAATTAGCTAACTAATTGACAATTTATAGAAATCTAAATATATACGAAGCTTGTGTTCCTGATCGTATGCACTATATTGATCTTAGACTCTTCAAGTATCAGTTAGAATTCACACAAGAGATTCTAAAAAAAGTCGGAGGAACAGAATTACAAAAGACTTTTGATCAACGTTTTCTTCAAATTCCCCGCTTTCCTGGCCTTAAGCTGTTAAGTAAATTAGGTCAATTGAAATTAATGACTGCTGCGGATTATCACCATATAATGAAGGTTGCAATTTTTGTGTTAGATGAAATCTTCAATGAATGGAATGGGATAACCTGTAACGAGCTTTGCAAACTTTATGCAAAATTTAGTAAAATGTATATAATAAGTAAGCAAGAATCATATACTGAAAACGATCTAAAGAATTTTGAGGTAATTATTATTGAAGTTAATAAAATTCGAAATATTATTAAATTTTACTAAATATAACAGGAAGCAATTATTCATTGGTCTACTGAATTCAAAAGATTATTCACTTCATTGTCTACAACAGAATGTAGATTTCCTAAACTACAAAGCTGGAGGTATCATGCAGGTGAATTTTAATTCCTAAAATCACGAATTATAATAATCTTACGCCTCACCATAATTTTCTTAGTCTCTGCAATTCGTAAATATAGAGCATTGAATGGTTTATCAACAGAAACTTATAAAACTCTTCATAAGTATTATGTTAAAAATCCTTATCATTCATCAAATAGAAAAGATAATATTCGGCAGCAAATATTGAACAATGTTAGTTAAAAATTCTAATAAATTTCAATAAACAAAATAATTATAAACATATACTTACATTTTTAATAATCTTTACAGGTAAAACGTAAAGAATTAAACCTAACTAAGAGAAAAGCTGTCTATCGTAAAACTGAAGGATTTGGAAAGTTCTTTGGGAATTGTCACTGGATAGTATTGATAAAAAAATAATATCTTTAAAAAATTTTAAAACTTCAACACATTTAAATTTCATTGAGGGTTATCACAGTTAATTACAACGTTAGACACCTTTTTGGATAACACATCAGTAGAAGATGTAAGTGATAACTTTTACATTAAAATCTTTGATTCAGTCCATATAGAGAATGGCGAAATCTTAAGGACAACAAAAGAATTTCAAGGCAAAGAGTGGTTCAGTAATATTGTGGTAACTCCTGCAGAAGATCAAGTACAATACAATTCAGATAAAGGAGCTTGATATAGGAAAGTAAGCAACATTATCTAAGATTAATAAAGTTTTTTTTTTTGCTTTTATCCTTTAACAGATTATTTCTTTAAAAGGTATTATTGATATTTAAATTTTCCAAGGATTGTCAGTAGAGCCGTACAAACTTGCTTTTATTTGTTGGTATGATATTCATTCAACAGAATCTGACCTTTATGATTATCCACAACTTTATTATACTGAAGAGTATAATTCTATTCCAATTGAATTTATCAGTGAAGCGGTCTATATTGTATCACGGTTTGATAAAGAAAATTGTTTTTTATTAAATAAATATATGTTTTAAAATGAAGAAAAAAATTTCAAAAAAAAAACTAAAAAAAAACTTCGAAAAAAAAAACTTAAAAAAAAAACTTGTTAAAAAGGCATGTGAACTTGTGAAGTTTATCAAAATAGTTTATCAGAAGTTTATCAAAATTAAAAATAAAATCTCCAAAGATTTTTGCTCGAAGATCTTAACAAATCTGCAATTTTGAAAATTATCGCAGATTTCTATAAAAATATCTTTGGCAAATTGCATTTGCAATATACCGCAGAACTTTATTAGATTTGACATTAAAAAATGCGGAGATCTGTAAATTTCGCAGATCTCTGCAATTCTGAACTATTTTAAATTTGCCGATGTTACCTGCCCCTATTGAACAACTAATGGAATTTAATGTCTCAACTTATTTGCAAAATCTACCATGTGAACTCTCAGTAGAACAAGCTGCACATGCTATCCCCAAATATTATTCTGGTTTAGCTCGAGCTGTTAGGCGCTCAAAAGAAAGAGTCACTGATGAAATTAAGGAAGCCAATTTAGTAGAAAGTGATGATGAACCAACCTCAGCAGCGAAATGTACTTTGAGAATTGGACAAAAAGCCCAAATTGCAATTATTGATAGTGGGGCTGCTACCAGTATCATAACCAGAGCTTTAGTAGAAAAACTAGGATATAAAATTAATCGATCCTCAAAAATGATAGTAGTAACAGCGAATGGTGCAAGGACTTGTTCCCTCAGAATAATTGACAATATACCAGTAAAGATTGAAAAAATTAATATACCCACTTCCTTCCAAGTACTCGAATCCAAAGATGAAATCCTTATACTTAGAAATGATTGGCTCAGAATAACTAATGATACTATAAGTTGGAAACAATCTATCCTTACTATTAAGCGAGATGGAATTACCATGAAAATTCCTATTGCATTTACAAAAACAGCCAAAGTTGTAACTCAGGAAGCTGAGGATGAATATGAAAGTGAAGAATAT